GTGGCCTTTTGTGCCTTGTTTCTTTCATTTTGCATAATGTTATTGAAATTCTTCCACGTTACAGTATGCATCAGTACTTCATTTCTTTTTGTTGCCAATTAATATGCCACTGTACAGACACATCACTATTAATTCATTCATCAGTGGGACTTTTAGGTTGTTTCCACTTTTGGCTTATGAATAGTGCTGCTATAAACATGTGTGTATAAGTTTTAGGGTAGACATATGCTTTCATTTCTCCTGGATATACACTTAGGAAATGCTGGATCATATCACTCTGTTTAACACTTCAAGGAACTATCAAACTTCCGACATGACTGCACCATTCTACATTTCCACCATGGGGGTTCCAACTTCTTTACTTTTGTTTGAATCTTATAGAACAAGAACAATCCCACTACACAAAATCCTTACCTAATATTCTGATAGAACAAAACAAGAAATACACAGAATCAAATAAACAAACTGGCAATTTTTACAAAAATGAAGAAAAAACAGAGTAAATCAATCAGGAAGTAACCAAACAAGAGGGACTCTAGAATGATCACAAAAGACCTCTCTGCGAAAGTAATGCTGACCTGAAATGTGAAGAACTAACTGGAAGTGGGTATGTTATAGGAAGAGGAAATGGCAAGTAATAAAACTAAGTCTACATGTTTGAGAAGTAAAAATGTGCCAACGTGGATGAAGTATAATGAAAAGGCAAAATGCGCAAATTAAGTTAGGAAGGTAAGCAGAGGCCAGATAACCTTAGGTCTCACAGATTAGGATAAAGTCTTTCAATTTTGCCTAAAATGCCATAATCCTTTTCTAATCTCTTATCTTTGTTTAAATATGGGTGCTCATTTCTGCAAACATTTACTGAACTTTCATGTATCTTCTGATCACACACACATTAGCAAATATTAAAGAGACTTTTTAGGTACATCAGCATCATTCATTTAGTATCATTATTTAGAGGCCAAGAAAGAACACCTAAAATATGGCTTCCAATGGCATTTTGGTAAAAAGGTACAACCATATGCATGAATCCTCACAAATTTATCTCCTAAAGTCTTAACCAATTTAAGAAGAAAGCCTTACTGACAATAATTTGCAGCTCTCTTAGATTATCAAGATCATATTTCAATAAAGTCAATTAAGAATATAGCTTAAGCTTAGTCTCATAATTTAAACCTAGATTTCATTCTCATAAACTGAATTATACTTAACTGTTTTTTTTTCCATTCTATTAAAAATTCAACCTTAAACCTATGAGTAAAAAAATAGTCTACATGTTTATACTGTTTAAATCCCCCTCCACCCCAGTACTAGGGATTTAAACCTGGGGTGCTCTACCACTGAGCTACATCCCCAGGCCCTTTTATTATGTTTTATTCTGAGACAGGGGTCTTGCTAAATTGCTAAGGCTGGCCTAGAACTTCCACAGTCACACTGAGATTACAGGTGTCAACCATCATGCCTGGCTTTTTTTTTTTTTTTTTTTTTTTTTGGGGTGGGGTCTCATTATGTTGCTCAGGCTAACTTTGAACTTCTGAGTCTCCTGCCTCAGCATTCCAAGATATGTGTCACCTAGTCCTAATTTGAGTCTTTTAAAATAAGTTTTTTTTCCTCTGCATATTACAGCTATGTTCAGGATTTTCAAAGAGGAAAAAAAATATTTTCAAAACTCTAATGACATAAAAGGTCACTCTGATAAAAGAACCTGTTACCTAGTCAAAACTTATCAAGTTAAAACTCCTTTCTAGGGCTGGGGCTTGATTTCCCATGGTTCTCCTTCCAGGCACTCTGCTTCTGCCAAACCAGACTGCTTGCTAGCCTCTTGGTACTTGTCCCCCGCCATCTCAGGTTTATAATCCACATTCCCCACCAGGAGAAATCCAACCAGTTCTTCAAGGTCCAGAACACACACTCTTCCCTCCTAGTCTCTTCTCCAGTTCTTTTACCTGAGTATAACTGATTCTTCATCTCTGTGTTCCAGTAGCAACTTCTACAACTCACGTGTTGCCTTATCATATTCCATCTGGTGCACAACTATAGTAAAGAAATCTGTGTCTTGGACAGGGTTGCCATCAACCACTCCCCTTGGCTCACCCCAAATACACAGTGTAACTAGTTACAATTAGGAGTGTTCAAATTTAAAATAATGCAGTTTAGCACCATTGGATTCACATAATACCAAGTCATTTCAAAAATTAAGCCCTCTGTGGAGACAAACTAAAGTAGAGGTAAATTTCCTTCCTTCCAAATTTAGACCTAACTCTTCAGTAACTGGTTATTAATAACAACACAATATCACTCCTTATTTAAATGAAACTTCTCCACTTTCATTACCTACACAAGAATTATTCTTGAAATGCTATCTGAAGTTTGTAAGGTGTATTCTCAAGAATTTATGACGGTAAAGCTAGAGTTCAGAGAAGGTGAAAGATTTCCACAAGTTCACACAGTTAATCATAGGACAAAATGTGATTCTATTACCTACCCACAAACATAAAGCACCTGAACATCAGTAACTTAAAAAGCATCTCGTGGACTTGGCATGAAGTAAACAAATATTTGAATTAATGAAGATGATTCAAAATTTGTAGTTGTGGCAGTTTTTTTCTTTCATCTTTTTCTTTTATTTACAAGTGAAAGACTAATTAATCCTTAATCATGCAGATCACATTAACAGATTATTTTCAAATTTACTATGCAGTTAACAGTTTGGAACACACATATAACAACCAAAACATGCTCTTAGCAATGGGTATGACAAACTCATCCACAAGAGTCACTTTTTCCTTATTTGTTCCCAGAAACCCAATAGACTAAACATTATAGCTGCTCCTATTTTCTAATTTCAACTTGCATTTAAGATAACGCTTTTGTTTCATTTACAGCTCACATGCTGCTGACACAGCTGCCCCTTCTTTGTAATAAACACAGGGCTTCTATATTTAAAAATACAGTGAAACTTTGTTATAACATCCCCTCCCCGGTCTCCGGACAATTTTCTCTCATCCAAGATCCACCTCCCCCCAGGACTTTTTAATCAGTGGCACTTAAAACATTGGTCCTTCGGAAAGTCAATTTTGTTCTTCAAAGTCATCTCATCACAGTGGTATTTTCCTTCTGCGTAGCTCTTTGTGTTTTAAGGGGGGGGGGGGATCCTCTTCCCAAAGGCCCTCTCTTTAGGCTTGGGTACTTTCAGAGCGCAACAAGCGCCGGGAGCGTCAAGTGGGCTAACCTCGCACGCACACCCGGCGGATGGGGGTGACGGGCAGCTGCGCCGCCGGGAAAGCGCGCCCCTGGGGCCGCTGCCCGAGGCAATGGGCGTTCCGGAGAGGGGGGGGTCTCCTAAACAGCCGGCCTAAGGACGAGATCACCAACCCCGGACGCCCAGAGCAAGCACCAGAGCAGGGCAAAACCGTCCCGCGTCTCTCCCCAGAGGAGTCAGGAGGGGGTGGCCAAGCAGGGTGTGGGCGCGAGGGGGGCCTGGGGAGGAGATAAGGCGAGACCCGAGTTAATCATCACCTCCCCGAGCGTCTGGAAAACTACGGGCAGGGACTGGAGGGGCGGGGGAGCAGCGCCGGAGAAAGTGAAACTCCCCGACCATCAGACACCTTGAGCTAGAGGGACCCAGAGCAGGACCTGGAGCCTCTACGTTCCTCCAGCCCGCACGGCTGGGGACTCCTGGTCTCAAAGAAGCACCCCAGCTTTGGACGCCTCTAACAACTACATCAATGCTTCTCTTATACAAACTGACCCGCACAAGGGACGGGTGTCAATCTGAATCACTGGAAATAAAACAGCCCCCCAAACCTTTGCCTTCAAAAAAAGGGATACACTGTTCCCATACCGGGAGTCGAACCCGGGCCGCCTGGGTGAAAACCAGGAATCCTAACCGCTAGACCATATGGGAAGTGCTGCTACACATACCGTCGCGACCCACCTGACAAGCGTAAGCGCTGCTACCGCCTTCACTACGCCGCGCACTGCCGCCTGTACTCCAGCGGCTACCGCCCGCTGCCCACGCGCGCGGGAACGAGCCCGGCCAGAGCGCGCAGCCCGAGCGGGGGAGGGGCGGGGCCGCGCCTCGCCGCGCCACAGGAAAGTTCTAAGGCAAAGCCGAGACTCGCGGGGGTCCCAGAACCAACTCTTTCACCTTTCTTTTTTTTAACTCCGCCAACGGCCCCCAGCCCACAGGTCCGGGTTGCTCCGTTGGTCAAAGTGCGTGCGGACTAGTTGGCAAAGTTGAGAGCGACGACGTCTCTGGGAACAGCTGTTTGCGTTCAGGGCGGAGGCGGCGTGCAAGCTCCTTGGCCGCGAGCCTAGAAGGAGAGTGGAAGTTCTGGATCCCAGGGGAGGACAGAGAGCAGATGGGCTGGCGCGGGGGCTTGAAGTTTCTGTGTTTCGGCTCAAGTCCCGTCGCGCTTTCGCTCCTTCTTCGTGACCTCAACTCCTTTATATCGACCCCACCTCTCAAGATTTTAGAGTACCGCCCCTGTAGGGGGAGGGGAGGAGGAGGCGATTTCTAACGCGGACTGAGTCTTCTGGGCACCCGTAGTTGGGAACTGTGGAACGCTGGTCTCAGGGAAGGTGGGAGGTGTCAGAGCTGAGAGTGAGGTTCGTGTGGGCCTCGCAGCTGGCCGGGCTGACTCTCTCCTCTTTGAGTGTATGTGAGTCGGATCCCCGGCGACGCGCGGAGCGGCAGGCGCAGTCATGTGAGTCGGGTCTCAGGCTCTGAACAACGAGGTGTTGTTTCTCTGGACATCTTTTTCCCTCCGGGTCCCTCCGCTGCCGCCACCCACTCCCGCCCTTCGGGCCGGGGGCGTGACAGACGCGCCCTTAACTCGCTCGGGTCCAGCAGCGGACCTGCAAGGCCGGTTCTTTGGGCGGGGTAGAAGTGCTACCCTTAGGAGCCACCTGAATGCCGCTGCACTGAGTCTAAGCTGGGAGCCTGCGGCCCGTTGAAGTGGCAGGTTGCACTGCAGAAATGGTTGCAGCTTAGGGCTCCTTCTTTCTACGTTGTCTCGGGGGTCGCCGGCGCCCTTTCTGGTTCCTTAGCGCTTGAATCCTGGGGTATTGTGAAACTTTGGTGTTGGGCTGCGGCCACCGTTGCAGTCCTCGCTCACGAGAAGCGGCCAGCCTTAGACAGCATAATGACTTTCTTTTGATCGCATTCTGTGAGATCCCGTTGCTTTTCCAACTCATCCCGAAGCTCAAGAACAAATTGTATTAACTGATACTCTCGAAGGAGCCACGTCTTTCCCCAGAGTAGACTTATACTTGTTTTGGTGAATATGACATTTAAGGCATACTTGAGTTTCTGTAGGCCTCCGTTATAGCATCCTCCCAAAAAGTTGGAATGGAACGTAAAGAATAAATATTTTTCTCTTGAGATGTTCCTTATTTCCTCATACTGACGCTAGTAACAAAAAAGGAAAATTTTAAAATTATTTTTCTAAGTAGTTTGTAAGTCCTGTGCCGACTTTTTCTACTCTATTGACAACAGAATCTCAGTTAATTGCTTCAGCCACATAAGTAATAAAATAGGGAGCTTTGTTAACAAAAACGTTCAGTAGCCAACACTTATCTTTCAAACTCCAAAAAAGAGGTTAAAAAAAGTGAATTTTTACCTTTTTAATTTTTGGATGAGCTCACACTTGTTTTCCTTTTTTCAGGGCCGACTACTGGAAGTCACAGCCAAAGAAATTCTGTGATTACTGCAAGTGTTGGATAGCAGACAATAGGCCTGTATGATGATACCACTAACTCTAATAGTATTCATGTGAATAATATTCATGTGAAGTGCTGCTTTTAGATCAAAGTCCATTTCTTTTACATTGCTCTGATTATTCGTAACATCAAAAGATTTCTGTTGTCATGTTATTCTGCTTATGAAAGCTATAAGCCTTCCTTTTTATCAATTAAATTTGATTATGAAGTCAATTATTCTGTGGACTTTCAAGAAATGGACATGAGTGGGTAATTTCATCCATGTTTATGAAACATCTGTGTTGTAATGGTGGTGCTTATAATGCATACAGAGTGAACGTGAAAAACTCAAAATATAAAAAGATCATTATTGTGCTTTTACTTGTATATTTCTTGCTCTACATGTAATTAAATATATATGATGCAGAGTTTTAAATTTAAAAGATCATTATTATTCCATCATAAAATATAAAAATAATAACTGTTAAGTGCATTATTATCATCTTATAGTCTAGGAGCAACTTTTGTTTGTTTTGGATATTAGGGATTGAACCCAGAGACACTTATCCTCTGAGCCACATCTACTGCCCTTTTTATTTTGTATTTTGAGACAGGGTCTGGCTAAGTTTTCTAAGTCCTTCTCTAAGTTGCTGAGGCTGGCTTTGAACTTATCATCCTTCTGCCTGAGCCTACTGAGCCACTGGGATTACAGGCAGTGCCTCAGCTTTGATCCAACTTTTAAGACATAAAAAACACATCACCGATTTTGCCCCCTTTCTGCATATCATAGTATTATGTACCTTCTACATAAAAACCAGAGTATCAAATATACATTCAAATGCTTTTTAATTGACAGAGTTGGACACACAAAAGAATAGTCCAATCTTTAACAATGCTGTATTTCTTTAGTATACATTTACATTGTCTATAAGGTATTAGTATTTTTGGTTGGTTGAGGTTTTTGTTATTGTTTTTCTCTTTCGGTGTATTTGAATACTTTGCCAAAGTTCTTAACTTTTTTTTTGAGTTAGACTGTTCTTATAAATAAATGTCATGAATTTTTAAAATGAAATTTCTAAAATTTGATTTCATGCAAATCACAGAAAGTTTTTTCCTTAGAGGCAGTAAAATGAATATTATGAGTTAGCTAGTGTAAATAATCCCTTCCAGTACTGTCTTCATCTTCTTGAATTGCTGACACACACTGATTTAGCCTTTAATTAGAAACAAAATTAATTTAATTTTAATGGTCTTTCAATATTATTATTTATGTGGTATAATCAACTTTAGGAAACCCAGTATAAGAAATAGAGATGATTATTTACAAAGTCACACTTCAAAGAGGAATTCACAGTATTTTAGAATAATTCAGTGTTAATGCATAAGATTTGATAGACAGAACTTGATTTTGCTGAGTTTACCAGGACTTTCTTCCTGCCTACTACCAGATACTTGTAACTGAGGGCAAATTTTTGGTTGTTTAAATAGATAATAGTGCTTACTCTCTGATCCATGTCCCCAACTGTCATTGCACATAGTTTAACTTTTGGTTTTTTTTTTTTTTTTTCACTTTCTTACCTATTCTTTTGTCGTTTCCACGTGTATATAGGTATGGGTTCTTATTCAAGTACGCATAAAAGGTAACATTGTAGATGTAGTGTTTTGGACCATATTTTTAAAAATTGACAATATACTCTGGAGGTCTCTCCAGTTAGAGAATTTGTTTTATATTATAGCAGCCTGTGGGATTGTACCACGATTTAGTTACAGTGCTGCAGTAAATAACCTCATATATAACCTCATTTTGAACTGAGCATCATTGCAACTGTAATTCCAGTAACTCGGGAGGCTAAGGCAGGAGGATTGCTAGTTCTAGGCCAGCCTCAGTAATTTAGAGAAACCCTATCTTAAGATTTAAAAAAAAAAAAAATGGAAAGAAGTAAGTATGTAGCTCAGTGGTAGAGTGCTCCTGGATTCAATTTCCACTACTCCCCCCCCAAAACCAAACCATTTTGTACATGTGCAAGCTTATCTATGGAATAAATTCCCAGAAATGGGATTGCTGGGTCAAAAGAGAAATGTATGTATAATTATGACGGATATTGCCAAATTGTCCTTAATGGAAGTTGTACGTTTTACATCATTATCATATTGTATAAAAATATGTGTTTATAATTTTAAATGTCTATTTTTCTTAAAATTTTGAGGATTAATAGTGGCTTTAAGGAACATTGTTCTTTATGTCTCTTATTTAATATAACAAATACAACAATAAAATTCTAGAGGCTTGATGGTTTTGACATTTGATGTTTGAAGGTGTTTCTTTAAAATTTTTTTTAACCTTTTGGCTTCGTGGCCTTTTTGAGTCTTTATTACAATCATATTTACAAGATCAGTCATCACTGGTACCTTGTATTTTTCTCCCATTAATATGATCATTCTGTTTTATTTTAAGAACCAAAGGATTTCTAGGTTCAGTTTCTTAGGGGCTTTTTTTTTTTTATCACAAAAGGGCTAATTTGCATGAAAATTAATGAGTTTTTATCTTTTTTGCCAGTCATTTTAATTTTAATGTTCTTATTTCCATCCTCACACTTACTATAATGCTTTATTGTGAATTTTATGCTGTTCATGTAATTTATCTTTATATTTTCTCTTATTTTCCAGAGTGTTGAATTTCATGAAAGGGGAAAAAATCATAAGGAAAATGTGGCAAAGAGGATCAGTGAGGTAATTTGGACTGATTCTCTGCTAATTTTTTTGTGCAAATGTCAATTCTTTATCTCACTTTCACTTTTATGTGTATCTTACATAGATTAAACAGAAAAGCCTGGATAAAGCAAAGGAAGAAGAAAAGGCATCAAAGGAGTTTGCTGCAATGGAGGCAGCTGCCCTGAAAGCATACCAAGAGGATTTGAAAAGACTTGGCTTAGAGTCAGGTAAAAAACAGCCTGCATGTTTTAAAGGTAACATCAGAGGTCATGCTGAGAGCTTTTATTGTTTCTGTAAAGAGGTTATGTACCCAGGGTATACTCTCAGTGGTTTTATTATGCATCATAGCCCTATTTAGATAGTAGGACTTGACTTTTGCACTTCTGTTTTACTTTTTTTGCCTCATCTATTAGTGCCTTCCTTCACATCAGCCAATCTACATTTGTGGTTACCTAGTCCTAGCTCTGTTCTAATTGAGTAGTTCATTTCATAGACACCATCAGTTTTTTTAGGTACTCTCGTTATTCAACTAAAAGCACTATTCATTAAAAAATAAACCTTGGGCTGAGGCTGTAGCTCAGTGACAGAGCACTTGCTTATCATGCGTGAGGCACTGGGTTTGATCCTCAGCACCACATAAAAATAAAAAAATAAAGGCATTAATTCTGTCCATCTACAACTCAAAAAAATATTTAAAATTAAAAAAAATAAACCTTGTATTAAAACTATAGTTCATTTTATCCATATGATAAAAACTATGAATCATATTTGTTTATATGGTTGAATATATGGTGAAATAGCCTTTTTGGACAAATTAACTGACTTTACTACTAGAGGGCATATTATTTTGAAGCTTTAAATATAGCCAAGTTCCAGGTTAAAAACATTATTTAACTAAAATGTGCCTATCTTGTCATTGCTCTAATTTGGGAAGTTTCTGTGAATATTTCTTCCATGACAAATCCATTGTCCATTAATCCAAGCATATAGTAAATCTCAGTTATTGATCTTGCATAGTGGTTGGGATAGTCAACATTCAGTAGTATCCTTAATCTCTACTAAAACAGGTTTCATTTAAGGTTTTGAGCAAAATACCTGTTAATGGGCGTTGCCTTCATTAAAGAAGAACAGTTGTAGTTAGACTTTAAAAGTATTATTGTGGACAATGATAGTTAAGGTGAGAGTGCCATGGTTCCTTAAAGATAAAGCATTTGATAGGAAAAAAGATGTAGGCAGTCCTGGAGAATTAGAGAATAGTAGTTGAAAAATGTAACTCTTTATCAGTTACATGAATTGAGAAATTCCATTATGTTGCCCTTTGACCAAATAAATAAGCATTCTATAAGTTAATGGATTTTTTCTATTGAATATTTTTCATAGCCTTGTTTTCCTAAATAGGATATTTATTTCTTTAAAAGTACAACAATGTAGTTTAAAAAAAAGACAACTTTTAAAAAATTTACTAAATGCTATTAAGATTTCTCTGACATCCTTAGAACTTTTTTAATTGTACATTTTATGCTATGGTCTGTTTACAAGTTTTCCTCTCCTCCAGTAACAAGTTAAATACATCTTTTCTTTTAAACATTTACAGTTATAAATCATTTTTAGTGATTACAGAATGGTTAAGAACACAAACTTTAGAATCAAGCAATTGCTTCTCTCTAGTTATATGACCTTGGACTTTTACTAAATTTAAGTAACACTAGTGTACAAATTTCTTATTATAGTAACCATCCATAATAGTGTTTAATAAAAGGTAGCTATCTATACAGTGTATCATAATTTATTTAATTTCTTCATGTTTAACATTTAGATTGCTTACAGTTTTTCACTTTTACAAAGATACTACATAATGGATCATTATGCATACATTTTTGCACATTTCTTTTTCTTTGAGGGTTCAATTTCTCAAAGTGAGACAATTTCTCAAAATGAGATTGTAATATCAAAGTGTGAGTATATCATATATATTGTAGCTAATATCCAGAAATGTTGGGCTGATTTACACTTTCACTAAAAATAAAACATTTATTAATGTGTTGGAAATATTGTCCAATCTTTTGGGAGAAAGTAAAGTCATAAAAACTACATATTTTTTCACATCTGTGTAAGTACCTGATAGATCAGACTAGGACTGGATTTGATCATTCTTTACAGTACTTACTGATCTCCTACAAAAATTAATTATATTTATTTGCATTTCTTTTAGTATTAGTGAAGGTAAATGTTATTCTCTGAGTTGCTTTTGTGCATTCTTGTTAGAATGTTTGATTTGTAAGGAATCTTTGTTAGGCATTAATTCATTTTATTTTTTTAAGAATGATGTGATTCTTTTATACCTTTATTATATTTATTTATTTTTATGTGGTGCCGAGGATCAAACCCAGCGCCTTGCACATGCTAGGCAAGCGCTCTACCACAGAGCTACAATCCAGCCCATGCATTAATTCTTATATTCGTTGTATTTTCTCATTTGTCTTTCATGAAAAAAACATATATTTGATTTTTTGTTTTTATATTTGCCATACACAATGTCTTAATTTTTATGTGGTTGGATTTAACATTATTTTACTTTGTCTGTATGTGGTTTTATTTTGGGTACTGGGGATTGAACCAGAGACACTTTACCACTAAGCCACATCCCCAGCCCTTTTTATTTTTTACTTTGAAATAGATTTTCACTAAATTGCTTAGGGCCTCACTATGTTGCTGAGGCTGGCCTTGAACTTGTGATCCTCTGGCCCCAGCCTCTGTAATTGGGATTACAGCCATGCACCACCATCCTCAGCATGTGTGTTTTTTAACTTCATGTTCTTTTAGTAAAGTATTTTTGGTCTGATATTTATTTTCATGTAAAAGAGTGGAGAATAGCTTTTACTTTATTTTATATTGTTGTTGTTGTTTAAAAATTAACCAGTTATTCTAACATCTTCTATTATATGATCTTTTTCCTTCTAATAAAATATATCAGAAATTTGGAGTTAGCTCTATATCTGAACCATTCTGTTTCAGTCATGTCTTTGCCTGTTTCTGTATCATTTGACACTGCTGGATCCTCTAACATTTCACCCCAGTGCTGGGGATCAAACCCAGGACCTTAAATATGTGCCAGGCACTAAGACTGAGCTACATTCCCAGTCTTGGATCTTTTTTTTAAACCATAGTTTTAGAATAAGTTTTAATATAAAGTTGTACTAAATTCCCCTTACCACTTTTTTTTTTATTTTTCAGTGTGTTCTTGCATGATTATTTTTCCAAATCTTGTCAAACTTTTGATTAAAATAACATTATTAATATTTTGTGAAAGAAAAAAAAGTGAGGTTACTTGACAACTTTGCCTTTCTCTCATCCTTTTTTTTTTTTTTTAGAAATTTCAGAGCCAACCATATCACCAGTAACCCCCACTATTCCACCCACCTCTGCATCCAATCAACAGAAAGAAAAGAAGAAGAAAAAAAAAGATTCTTCAAAGGGTAGATGGGTAGAAGGCATAACCTCTGAGGGTTATCATTACTATTATGATCTCATCACAGGAGGTAAGTCATTTAAGCATAGAACTAGTAGAAAATAGTTCCATTGGAACAAATAGTTTATTTTGTGTTAGGATTTTTATTTAATATTGGAACATTTTAAACAGTGAAAGACTGTAACTTATTTTAGCCAAAAGGTTTAAAAAATTATGTGCCCTTTAAAAAAGTACCTTTCTCATTGTGACTCAATGTCATACTTAAGGTTTTAATAGCTTTATATTTTCTCAGTAAAATTTTCTGAAAATATGAACTACATGGAAATACGACTTTTTAATTCATTTTACAAATTGCAAGGTCCTTGAAAGGAAATGTTAAGATTTTCTAGCCAAAAGCAGTCTGGGAGCCAGAAACTGGTTTCTTTTTTTGTGTACTTGTCTTGATTGATATAGTAAACTCCCCCATTCATATTAATGTCAGATAGCAATTTCAAATGAAATACATAATGATGTTTTTCAGTGGGAATATCAAAAACATCTTTTTATTTTCCTTAAAAACTAAATATATTTGGGATTTTTCCTTCATATAAATTCTAGGAAAAATAACTTTATTTTATTATCCAGAAACAAAATTTAGTGACAGAAATAAATTTTGATTCCAGGAGGAACTTTCAAGTGTAGTAGTAAAGATTATATGGTATCTCAAAATAATGACTAATTAATTGTGATTATATGATGTGAGAGATTATCACAGGAATTACTTTTGAGCTAATCTTGGGACATCAAGAATGGTGTCTTGCCATTTGTATCCCTACCACTTAACACAGTGCTTGCCTGGCGAAGTGCAAATACTCCATAAGTATTTTGAATGAATCCAAAGATTTCAATAGATTAAGAGGGTATAGCATTTCAACAAATGGAACAATATAAACTTTAAAAAAATTGAAAGTTTTAAGGCATAGAGAGTCTTTTGGCAGAGGTAAAACATTCATGTGGCAATTTTCAGTGGCTAATTGATAATTAGAATCTGAGTTAAGGAGCTAAATTGAGTTTGGGGTTGTAGATAACATATTTACCTTTAGGAGTATATGAAATTACAAACAATGGAACAAAAAGTAAAAACGGATGATTAGTATATATATTGAAGGAATGGATTGAAGAAAAGCCAGCAAAAAAAGTTCAGAATGATCAGGAAGGTTTGGAAATGAGATCAGAAAGTTAATAATGAAAAAAATTTGAAGTGACGATGTCGTAATTATGATTAGAATCATAATCAGTTTGGGACTACATAGAAATGGTGATAACAGTAATAATAATAGGTAATAATTTATACTGAGGCTTAAGTGAAATAAATAGTGCACAGCAATAAAGATTTCCCCAAACAATTAAATTCTAGGGATGAGTAGTCTTTCTCAGATTTACTTAAAAACATGTTATTCATTCTTTTCTCCCTTCTAAGGCATCATTTCTTCGCCTTTCTACTTTATATACTCTTGCCCTCAGTAATATTTGTCTTTAATTCTTTACTTCATCTTTTCCTCTTTCAAGTCACTGTTCATTCCATCGTCTCCCTTGCCCTAAGATAACAAAAAGCTATTCTCTTTCTAACCCAATCCTAAATTCCATGAAATCTTTGAAAGAAGCCTTATGTAGTTCTAATACATCCTGTGCAAGTTCCATGGGAATTAATGTTAGAGAGCCATCTCGTGAAGATAAAACATTCTAGTAACTTCTGATCTAGTAAATTCTGATCCTGTGATTTGTCGTTTCTTCTTGGTTACATAACACCTATATTCTTTTGCATAATGTTGCTGGCATGTATGGGGCTTTTTTTTACATTTCAATTATGTTTTAAACTGTATTTCTATAGTGTTTTATACACAATGACTAGTTTGTAAATTTTTGCCAAATTAAATTCTTTGGAGTTTTTTTTTTTTTTAAGCAAAAAAGATTTTATAAATGCAATATATTTTGCTTTAAGCATCCCAGTGGGAGAAACCTGAAGGATTTCAAGGAAACTTAAAAAAGGTAATGGAAGCACATTCATAGTGTTTTTGCTTATTCTTTAAAGTGATTGACTTCTGGGGCTTTTACAGAGTTTTATTAAGCAAATTTTACTTCCAAATTATCCTGCTACCCCAATCCCCACCTCTAACTTTGTTCCTTTCTTCCTGTAATCCTTTAAGTTAGAAGGCTGGGTGGAAATGAAACTGTTGTCTATTCAGAAACCCCATGCAGGGTGAATATTAATAGTTGTTTGCAGTTCGTTATCATTCACATGTCCTTGTCCATCTGAGAGGAATTCCTGGCTTTCAGAGGTGAGACATTCTCTCAATTTGATTCATGATTAGCCAGAAATCAAGCTTCCTGGCCATCAGGGGTATCACTATACCTAACTTCCAGGTGTCGGGTGAAAAGGGAAAAGTGGCTAAATCTACCTTAATAATGCAATATATAACTATTATCATCATTATATTCAATTTATTCTGTTTTTTCCCCCCATCCTATTAGACAGCAGTGAAGGCCATTTGGATAGAAGGTTTAAGTGAAGATGGTTATAGCTATTATTATAATACAGAAACAGGAGGTAAGAATTATCTTTGATTTTTCTTTTTTTTTTTTAATTGTTTTTTAGTTCTTAATGGGACTTTATTTTATTCATTTATTTATATGCGGTGCTGAGAAATGAACCCAGTGCTTCTCACATGCAAGGCAAGGACTCTACTACTGAGGTAGAACCCCAGCCCTCTTTGATTTTCTTAACTGTCTAAATTGTACCTAAAACTGCTTGTTAGTCTGCTAAAGTTCATCTGAACTTGGGATTTTAGTATGTAATAAACATTTCCATAGAAAGCCTGTATTGCTTTTCGTAATTTAAAAACATTAGTACAGCTGGGCGCAGTGATACATGTATGTAATATCCCAGCGGCTCTGGAGGCTGAGGCAGGAGGATAAAAGCCTCAATAAATTAGCGAGACTCTTAGCAACTCAGTGAGACCCTGTCTCTATAAATAAAATATAAAAAAGGACTGAGAATGTGGCTCAGTGGTTGAGTGCCCTGGGTTCAATCCTCAGTACCAAAAAATAATAATAATAATAACATTAGTACAGTAGAAAAGCAAAAAGATTTCTACTTGTAATATATTGTTCAGTGTATTAATGTTATTCTCAATTGATATGTCATTTGCAAATTTAATAATTTTTACTCTAAAATTACTGGGTTTTGTTATGATTTTAGAAATATGATCATTTCTATGGAAAGTACCTTAGAGATCGCCAATGTTCAATTTTCTTTTCTTTGTTTTTGTTTTTGTATGTGTGTGGGCATTAGAGATTATACCCAGGATTTTATGTTTGTTCTACCATAGCGCTATAGTGCCACCTGCACACCTCCCCCCAGCACTTGAACTTTCTTTTTCCTTTTTTAAAAAATAAAACAAGTTATTTTAGCAGTGGCTAAAATTGTCACATTTTCACTTTGTCTAATGTTTCAGTTGTATAAATATTTATAAAACATGCATAATTACTGCCATCTAAATTTTTCAAATTTATTTCATAAAACTTCAAGTAATTAATTACACTTGGGCCTACTACAGTTAAACTTATCAGTTTGGCTATAGCTTTGATGTAACTTTGGAGGGGTTTTTCATTTTTTAATTTCTACTATTCAAAGACTTCTATATAGCATTAAATATTTTAGTAAAAAATAGCCCTTTTAACCCTTAAACAGATAGCAAGCAAGCCTGCCCAGTTATAGCAGTGTTTCTATCCAAGTAAAGTACTAACTTTTTATAGAGATAAAACAAAGAGTGATATAATATGGCTTTAGAATTAGACAGATCTAAGCTCAATGCACAACTTCTTCCTTTACCAGTGATGTGTTAGTGAGCCTGTCGTTGAGCCTATAGTCACTCTTCAGTAAAAATAGATGGTCATAGTATATACTCCATGGAGTCATTAAGATTAGATACCTGTAAAGTTCCCAAAACAGTGCTGGAACATAGGAAGTGCTTAGTAAATTATTTCTTGATAGTTCTTTTTGTTATTTGTATGAAATACAGATAAAGGAAAGTATTTACGAGGCTCTTCATACTGATTTGCCCTAAATGATTTCAGCTTATACTTGGAGCATTGATTGTTAATAGCAGGCCTTTCAGCTTTAAAACTACCTCAGTTGGACAGTGAATTGAATAATCACTTATTAAACTAAAAATAGAGAATATTTTCAAGACAATGAGAAATGTTTTCATTTTACTAAAAGCCTAGTGAACCACTAGATGGCAGTGGAGCTGAATCGATTGAAGTCCCCCTCCCACTATCAAAGTGACAGATTATATCCAATCATATCTTCATAATCATATCAGAATGATTTTAGGACTAAGGCTATAGCTCAGTGTCAGAGCGCTTGCCTAGCATGTGTGAGGCACTGTGTTTAATCCTTAGCATCTCATAAAAATGAAACAAATAAAATAAAGGCATGATGTCCATCTACAACTACAAAAAAAAATTTTTTTAATGATTTTTTTTTGTGTGTGAAAATTTCAGGAAATCTTTATGATAAGTAAATTTCAGGGAATCTCACATATGATCCTTATTAGTATGTTTCCTGAAATTGTTATTGGATAAATTGTGAGTCCATAAAAGGATCAGCCACTTTTTAAAAAATCTTTTATTGATTTTATTTTTTTTTTTTTTTTTTTTTTTTTTTTTTTTTTTTTTTTAGTTTTCGGCAGACACAACATCTTTGTATGTGGTGCTGAGGATCGAACCCGGGCCGCACGCATGCCAGGCGAGCGCGCTACTGCTTGAGCCACATCCCCAGCCCCGATTTTATTTTTTTAAATACACAACAGCAGTGGAATGCATTACAATTCTTATTACATATATAGAACACAGTTTGTCATATCTCTGTATATGAAGTATGTTCATGCCAATTTATGCCTTAATACATGTATTTTAGTGTGTTTTTTTGCATTACAATTCTTAATACACATATATACCACAATTTTTTATATTCTGTTTGTATATAAAGTAGGTTGACACCCAATTCAAGTCTTCATACATGTACTTTGTATAATGATGTCCATCACATTCCCCCATCCTTGCTAATCCCCTACCCCCTTCCTTTCCTTCCCACCCCTCTTCCCTATCTAGAATTCATCTAATCCTCCAATGCTCTCCCTCCGTACCCCACTATGAGTCAACCTCCTTATATCAGAGAAAACATTCAGCATTTGTTTTTTTGGGATTGGCTAACTTCATTTAGCATTATCTTCTCCAAAGCCATCCGTTTACCTGCAAATGCCATGATTTGGGGATCACCCATTTTTTAAGCCTCCCTTTGCTTTGGAATTGTAGATGTAATTTACATCTAGTAAATACCAAGTTGTTTGAAATTCGTTTGTGAAAGATACAAAAGCAAGATGTTTGGAAACTCTTTATTTTAAAACTTCTTAATCAAATAGTAATGTGAAATAGATGCAATGTTGTCATTTAATAATTGTAAATAATAGAAATTATTATAATGGAATTACTTCCAAGTAGAATTGGTTACTAAATAACACTAGTACTAAAATGTGTTGAGCAGAATCCAAATGGGAAAAACCTGATGATTTCATTCCACATACTGGAGATATGCTTTCTAGTAAAATTGATGAAAAGTCACTTGGCACCGTAGAAGACTCCAAATCATCAGATTCACACAGTGATTCTGATGGGGAAAAGGAAGCAGAAGAAAAGGTTTCCACAGAAAAAAAAAAGCTAATAATAAAGTTTAAGGTAGGTTCTTGATTTAATCTTCACAGAATTTTATCAGTTTATAAGAAAGTTCCACAGTCTTTTTTTCAGTCTTTGATATAAGATAGAAATAGAGCTAAGATAGCTGGGGATGTGGCTCAAGCGGTAGCGCGCTCGCCTGGCATGTGTGTGGCCCAGATTCGATCCTCAGCACCACATACAAACAAAGCAAAGATGTTGTGTCTGCCGAAAACTAAAAAAAAAGTAGAAATAGAGCTAAGATATATTGGTAGTTCTCCCTCCCAATCCTTGATTTTGCTTTATGTGGTTTCATTTACCCATAGTTGACCAAGGTCTGAAAATAGTAAATGGAACATTCCAGAAATAACAATACATCAGTTTTAAATTGTATGAGAGTGACGTGATGAAATTTCCTTCATTATAGTATGCTATTGTCAGACACAATATCTTTATTTTAATGTGGTGCTGAGGATCGAACGCAGGGCCTTGCACATACTAGGCGAGCGCTCCACCACTAAGCCACAATCCCAGCCCCTACTGTATTGTTTTTAACTCTTACTATGCCTAATTTATTAATTAAACTTTATCATAGGATTGTATGTATAGGGAAAAACACAGAATATAGGGTTCAGCACTATCCATGTTTTTAGGTATCCACTGGGGATTTTAGAATATACCCCCCAAAATAAGGTGAGGCTACTGTATTTTGGTAACTGGATAAATGGCTATACTATTTAGTAATACCTGTTGGAGAACAAAATTCTTAAGTTTATTTGAGACCTTCTAAGTTTAATAAGCCTCTGTAACATTCAGAGAGCTGTCAAAATAGCCTAGTCTGTATGTCTGGACTAGAAATACTATTTGAATATTATTAGCATATTGGTAATACTGTAAATCTCAGAGTAGATGAATAACTAATTTAGTCACTAGGTGACTAAAGCACAGTGAAGGCCAATATCATTGGTTTTGAGACTCATAAAACAGGTCAGAATATTTTAAAGTTTTCTTGGTTAATAAAAGGAGTTTGAATAGAGAGAGATTAGTGCCGTTTGCCAGCATTATCAGTGAATATAGAGTAGTCACCTGAAGTCATTTGATCATGTAAAGAATAATGGAGAGAATAGTATAGAAAGTGGTGGGTGTGATCCTCAGAGGAGATCTTTATTGTGTAAGAATCAAAGTATAAAGTATCATGTCCTCCTTTTTCGCATACTAGAAATGAAATCCAGGGTGCTTTACCACTGAGCTACCTTCCCCCAACACCTTTTTATTTACTTTTTAAATTTTAAGACGGGGTCTTACTAAGTTGCCCAGGCTGGCCTCATAGTTGGTATCCTTCTGCCTCAGACTCTCAAGTTGCTGGTATTACAGGCATGCGCCACACACCAGCTATCATGACCTTTTATGCCTCAGTAAAAATTATTTATTAAGAGAGTCATGGTAGAAATAAATAAATAAAATAAAGATATTGTGTCCATTTACAACTAAAAAATATTTTTTAAAAAGGAGGGAGGCTGCAGTTGTAGATCAGTGGTAGAGAGCTTGTCCTGTACGCATGAGGCACTGGATTCAATTCTCAGCACCACATAAAAATAAATAAAGATATTGTGTCCATTTACAACTAAAAAAAAGAGAGAAAGAGAGTCATGGCCTGCAAGCAGTCAGAATTGCTAAGAAAAGTGGACACTGCATCCTAGTCCTATAATACCAACCTTATGAAGAGATGAGTTGACATCCTTTCAAAGAATTGCACAGGAAACAGTGTCCCAGGCCAGTAACTCATAGCTGTACAGTTTGCAAAGAGGATTAAATCAATACATGATCCACTTGCTAAACTAAGTTACAGAGGTGTGTTATCCCGATGAAGGTATGCCATAAAGTACCATCCCTATCCCTATCCAGGGGCATCTGTGGGAATTGCTTCTACCCCAATGAGGTTTCTTTCTAATTCATACATAGTTGCTAGTTATACAGGCCAGTGAGGCTCTGGCAGTATCCTCAGAGTGAAGATGATTTTCAATTAAATCTTAACAAGTTGAAGGAGTTCTCTAAATAGACATAGCTATAGAAGAGTCTGATTACATAGCATCAAATTCAAAAGGAAAACAATATAAAGGGAGATCACTGTTGGATATGTAAGCTAGGTAAGAAAGCAGAAAAGAGAGACCTAATATGTTAGAGTAGACATAATGAAAAACGTTCTTGAATGTTATGGTTTAGATCTGGAATGTTCCCCAAGAGCTGCTGTGCTGGGCAGTGCAGCAGTGTTCAGAGGTGAAATGAGTGGACCATGAGGGCTCTAACCTTATCAGTGGATTAATCTACTTAATGGATTATTAGTTTGAATGAGAATGAGCCTAAACTGGAACTGGTCTAGGTGTCTGTCAGTGTATCAATGGATAAAAAAAATGTGGGGTGTGTGTGTGTGTATTTATATATATGTGTATATATATACACATATCTATATGTATATGTGTGTGTATGTATGTGTATATATATATATATATATAGAGAGAGAGAGAGAGAGGAGTTTTATTCAGCCATAAAAAAGAATGAAGTTATGTTATTTGCAGGAAAATGGATGGAACTTGAGAACATATTAAGCAAAACAAGGCAAACTCAGGAAGTCAAAGGTTATCTGTTTTCTCTCATGTGGAAGCTGGAGAGGAAAAGAGGGGGCAGGGATTTCATGAAAATTAAAGGAAGATCAGTAGAGTAGAGGGAAGGAACCATGGGGAGGGAGAAGTAGAGGAAAAGGGGAAGTACAAGGGAATGATAGTAGCCAAATTATATTATAATACTGTGTGCATGTATGAATATGTAAAAACAAATCTCACCATTATACAGAATTATAATGCACCAATAAAAAACATGAAAAAATAAAAATAGAAAAATAATATAATTTGAATACACTTACTGAGAGGTGGTGAAAACTATACACAGGTGGGACGTGACTGGAGGAAGTAGGTCACAAGGGGCATAGCCATGGGGACTATATCTGTCCTTGGCACTTTTCTCTGTGTCTCTGTTTCCCAACTGGTATGAGCTGAGCAGATTTCCTCCACCATGCCCTCCTGTCATGTTATTTCTGCCTTGGAGCCAGCCAACCATGGACTGACCCTCTGAAACCATAAGCCATCTTTCCTTCTCTGAGTTCCTTTTTTTAAAACCAGGGATTGAACCAGAGGCATTTAACCACTGACCCACATCCCCAGCCCTTTCTTATATTTTACTTAGAGACAGGGTCTCACTGAGTTGCTTAGAGCCTCACTAAATTACTGCCGCTGGCTTTGGACTTGCAATCCTCCTGCCTCAGCCTCCCGAATCTCTGGGATTACAGGCATTCACCACCATGTCCAGCCCTTCTCTAAGTTCTTGCCATGTATTTTGGTCACAGTAATGAAAACTAATACATCAGGCATTAAAGTTCTTCCATGTATTATGTACAAATTAAACTATTAAGTGAGATCTAATATATTATTAAGGGTAAATCTGTAAGATGACTTTTAAAAGAAGTTAACTTTTGATTTGTGATAAGCTTTACTTGAAGTGTTGTTTCTTGACTGTTACATTTCAGGAAAAAAATAAAAAGAGTAATGAAGGAACTGACCCAGAAATGCAGAAGGAAAAAAGTATCCCAAAACAGAATTCATCAGGTCCAAATGAAGAAAAACCCAAAACTCTTAAAAAGCCAAATCCATACGGGGAATGGAAAGAAATTAAACAAGAAGTCAAATCTCAGTAAGTACTTAAAACCTTAATCCCACTGTTATTACAAGTATTGCATATTCCAGTACAATATACATGTATTGCAACCATTAATTTCAAGGGTACTGTTCTTATTAAAAGTGTAGCCCAGGAACTGGGGGTGTAGCTCAATGGTAGAGCACTTGCCTTGCATGCATAAGACCCCAAGTTCAATCCCTGGCACCCAAAAAAAAAAAAAAACCCTAAAAAGTACAGAGTACTCACTTCTTTATTTCTAGAGTGGTTTTTATTTTAAAATGTAAGGTACTGGTTACTTTTAAAAGGAAGGTAAGGATTGTTTTAATTCTTACCAAAACATGCATGACATTTCTGTTGACCAACTCACACATGTACATGTGCACATTCTCACATTCACCATCATTTTTTTGAGGAATAAATATGTTCATATTCAATAAATGCTTTGCAAGATGCTTTACATATATCATAGGATGCCGCAGTCTGGCTGGGCACAAAATCACGAGCCACTCAAGCAGGAACAAAGTTTATTTTTTGAAACTGCCGCCAATGTCCGGTACCCCCTGGGAAGATTTTTTCCACCCACGCGGCCTCCTCCCGGACCGCAGAGAGTTCCTCCCCCGGAACTCCCTCCTACTGTACTTCCCCAACCAATGGGAACTCTCCAGGAGTCCCGTAGCCGGCCTAGGTGAACAGCAGGAGTCCAATATCCATATGAATGCAAATCTTAACATAATCATATCATCTCAATGGCTAGCTGGCGTCACCTTTCGACCAAAAATGCCATGCATCATATACTTGGCTCTTAGCAATAGGATATATCTAAAGGCAAGAAAAAAGTTTTTGCTTTGTTATTCTCTTGAAAGTAGCTTACTACACTTCAGAATTATAAAGCAGATATTCGATAAACAGACCAGTTCATTATCAGTTAAACAAAATCATAGTAAAGTTTTACATTATTAGTTTATTAGTTCAAGTAAGTTATTTTCTTAGGAATATTTATACCATGAAAGAAAGATGTCACTACCAGTTTCACATTTAGTCTTTCTGCAATGCTTAAAGGAAACTTCAGGTTTAAAAAAAACAAAAAGTATCTACATGCACAAAGGAGTATTCTTCAAAGCCTCAGTGCTTTCAAATGATAATGTAAGATGGTTTCTTTATGTATACTTTTACAGCGAAATGATTGTTAAAGTTATATTTTTTTTTAAAGAGAGAGAGAGAGAATTTTTTAATATTTATTTTTTAGTTTTCGGCAGATACAACATCTTTGTATGTGGTGCTGAGAATCGAACCTGGGCCGCACACATGCCAGGCAAGCACGCTACCGCTTGAGCCACATCCCCAGCCCTTAAAGTTATATTTTAATGAAAAGATGTTTTTCATAAGATAGAGTTATATGAGTATTGGACAGTTCTATATACTCATCTTAGAATTGATTCCTTAAGTGTGATATAATATAATACAGCTTAGGACTGCTGTGAAAATGTTATTATGAAATTGTTCAAGTTGTATTTATAGTACTTTTTTTTTCTCTGTGTACAGGAGGATTAAAACCAGGTGCACTCTACCACTGAGCTACATTCCCAGCCCTTTTTATTTCGAGATAGTGTCTTGCTAAGTTGCCCAGACCTGTCTCAAACTTGTGATACTCCTGCCTCAACCTCTAAAATTGTATTACTAAATGAAATATTAGGAAATATGTGCTGAATGCTACATAGTTTCAGTTACCATGATAAGCATAATGATTCTATATATATTAAAGTTACAGAAATAATAGACTGCTCCATTACTTCAGCTCTTATTTGACTTAAAATAGAAGATGGTCCTACATCGGTACTTCCAAGTTGAGATTTTTTTTTTGTTTTACTTGTGATGAATATATGCTGAAATCATTCTTATTAAATCTTAGCCTAGTCAGATAGTTTAATATATAATGGATTATGGCCAACTTCATAAATAGGTCAACCTAGTTTTTTTTTAAAGGGGGTTCCTACCCCAAATTAAAGCATGCATATTTACATTAGTTTTTTTGTTATTGTTTTTTGGTATTAGGGATTTAATCCAGGGGTGCTTTACCACTAAGCCACATTCGTAGCCCTATTTTTTATTTTGAGACAGGTTCTCACCAAGTTGCCTAGGATCTCGGTAAGTTACTAAGGCTGACCTTGAACTTGTGATCCTCCTGCCTCAGTCTCCCAAGTCACTGGGATTACAGGAATTCACACCACATCCACCTGAATGTTGTAGGAAATATTGAAAATTAAGTATATAAAAATAATTTATTATTCAGTTACCCAGAAATAATACTAACGTTTTTAAATATTTTTCTCAGTATGTTTTCTCATTTTACATTATTAATATTTTCCTGTTATATTAAAGTTTTATAAACACTATTTCAACCTTGATTTTACTCAGCCATTCTTTTTGTTGGGCATTTATTTATCCTTTCTTTTTTTGTACCAGGGATTGAACCCAGGGGCACTTAACTATTGAGCCACATCCCCAGCTCTTTTTATTTTTTATTTTGAGACAGGGTCTTGCTAAGTTGCTTAAGACCTCAGTAAGTTGCTGAGGCTGGCTTTCAACTTGTGATCTTCCTGCCTTGGCCTCCTGAGCTGCTGGAATTATAGGCATGCAACACCATGCCTAGCCCATTTTTAATTTTTATAATGAACTCATTATTATATGGATATCTTTCTCTGTACATGTATCTGACAACAAGTGGAATATCTGTGTAACAGTTACATTTTTAAATCTGTGGCACTGGGATTGAACCCAGGGTTATTCTACCCCTAACTGCATCTTCACTCTCTTTATTTTTTATTTTGAGACAGGGTCTTCCTAAATTGCCTAGGCTGGACTCAAATTTTCAGTCCTGCCTCAGCCTCCGGAGTCACTGAGATTATAGGCATGCACCACCACACATGGCTGTGAACATTTTAAAATCTTAATACACAGAGTCCACTTATTTTCCAGAAGGAGTATACTGATACTCCATTAGCAGTTTCTGAAAGTTCCTATCCCACTGGATTTTAAATAATTTCTAATTTGGCAAAACATTCCTTGTTTTAACTTTTCTTTACTGATAAGGTTGAAAATTTTTTTCATATATTTGTCAGCGCATCCCCTCATCAGTCTTGGAGGAGTCGGTATAACATTATGATCTACTGAGATAAATGTTCTTCAAGTTTTATATTATACAGAATGGTTCTTTTTTTGTTTTCTGAACTATCAGTACGATTTTGAAATTTTATCTTTGTCCTTATATTCTTGTTTGTTTTGCTTTTGCAATCTTAGCAAATTTCCTAATTTATTCTTACATTGTACAACTGTTATAATAGCTCTAGACCTACCTGTATTTGTATCCACGTTTGTAAGATCTCTAGTCCGGGCAAGGTGGCACATGTCTGTAAATTCCAGCAGCTTGGGAGGCTGAGGCAAGAGGACCATGAGTTCTAAGCCAGTCTCAGCAACTTAGCAAGGCCCTAAGGAACTCAAAGAGAGACCCTGTCTCTAAATAAAATAAAAAAGAAAAAGGGCTGGGAATGTCGCTCGGTGGGTAAGTGCCCCTGGGTTCAATTTTCAGTTAAAATAAAAAAGAACTCTCAATACTTGTCTTCATAGCTCTTTCTGCATAATCTAAATGTGGAAGAAGAAATTTTGTTATCCTGTCTTTTTGTTTAAGATCATTGAACTGAATAGCATTTGTTGAAATTTTTAAGTCTTATCAAACAACCTAAAAAAATCACATTACCTCTAAACTGCAATTATCAGAATTGATGAGGGCTCACAATTTTCGTTTTATTGTTTTTGTTGTAGAAGTACATATAATGTACTCCAGTTTTCTTTTCATTTGCAAATGACAGAATTTTACGTATGTCTGGAAGAAGTTTCAAGTGTAGCTGGGGATAGGGGCTTGAATAAAATGATCAGGACACTGTCTGTCTCTATTACCGCTCTCCTTTCCTTTGAGTTGACCACTTTCCAGGCAGGCTCTTCCCACCTGATGGCAAAGCTTTAAGTTTATGTCATACTTAATGTAAAGTATCCCAGCAAAAATAGAGTGTTTTTTTATTGGCAGTTCCTGAATTTGTCCTACTTCTATCATGTACACAGTACCCATTCCTGAGCTAACTACTGAGTGGACATGAACTGAACTCAGAATTCATAGACTTAGAAAGACGGAAAAGTAGTTCCCCAAAATACAAGTAATAATAATAATAAAGAGAGTTGTAGTACTAGAAAAATGGGAATGAGGCATTAGAAGAGTCAAAATAAATGTTTCTACTCCAAGTGCCTAGTGTAGTATGTGGCACATAGTAGACATTCAGAATATTTTAGCTTTCCCTGTGTTCTAATTTTTAAGTTGTTAAATATTTTTGTTTTCTCCTTCTTTTAATTTTTATTTTTTGGTACCAGGGATTGAACCCAGAGGTGCTTAACCACTGAGCAACATCCCCAGCCTTTTTTTATATTTTATTCAGAGACAGGGTCTAACTGAGTTGCTCAGGGCCTCAATAAATTGCTGAGGCTGGCTTTGAACTGGAGATCCTCCTGCCTCAGCCCGCTGAATCACTGGGATTACAGGTGTGTGCCACAGTACCCAGCTCTCCTTTTTTAATAAAATTTGCCAAAGGATTTTTTGTTTATCCTCAGTAAACCAGCTCTTAAATTTAATTATTATACTTTGTTTCTTCATTTCTTGTTTTTATCATTTTCTTGCTCTGACTTTTCTTAGGTTTCCTGTTTTTCTTACTCTCTTTGGATGAACACTTAGAATATTGACAAGAGATGAAAGAGGGTCTGTTCTTGTTTCCTAATGAAAAGTTAAAGCAATTGATTTGTCTCTAAATGTAATTCTGCCCATAAACCCCATAAACTTGGAATGAACAGTCCTTGATGTCATCATTTTTGGAATAGTTTTTAATATAGTGTTTCTGCATAATTTTTGAATTGGTGGTTTTTCAGGTAGATGGGAAGCCTTTTTGGTTCTTTTTTCCCCCCCACTTTTATTGCAGTATGTCTCAATATATCCTTTACAGTTTTTGCATGTTGAATTTGGAAATGATTCTGGTTTTGTGGAGGTACTTATATCATTGTTTTTTGTAACTGTTCCAGTAATTCAAAAAGATTCTGTAATGTTCTGTAGTATACTGTACTTGTAGTCAGGACCAATCAACTGATTATTTATAACAAACCATGTGGATGGTTGAAGAACTAGGTTTTTAGAAAAGGGGTCCTAGGCAAACAGCCACACTGTCTTCTGTGTTAGGATATCAAGATTCCATGATTTTCATCTTCTGTATAATCCTTCAAAGTCCTTTTCAATTATGGCAAAATCAGTTTCCATAAATACCTCTCCCTTATGTATCTACTGGTACTGTATATCTTATATAAGCATGGGCATTTTCTGTAGTAGAAATAAAAGACTAATAACTGAGACTTTTTGTAGGAAAAAAGTTGATGTTCCACTTGATAAGAATTCAGTCTCTTAAATAAAATTGTAAAGTCTGTATTTTAAAAGTTTACTACTTCAAAATGACCACCTTCTAACTTTTCACCATTAGTCATCATTAGGTGATCTGGGGGCTTTGGTGGCAAACATTTGTCTTATTCTGTCAAATAATGGTTTTATTTTTGCTTTCTGTTTCAGTGAAGAGGTAGATTTGGAACTTCCAAGCCCTGAAAATGAATATGTGTCAACTTCAGAAGGTGATATTGGGGAACCCAAAGTGGTATTTAAAGAAAAAACAGTTACTTCTCTTGGAGTTGCAGCAGATGGTGTGGCCCCAGTTTTCAAAAAGAGAAAAATCGAAAATGGAAAGTCTAGAAATTTAAGGCAACGAGGTGATGATCAATAATTGTAAAAGCATTTTATATGTGTGTTTTGGACAGAATGGAGACTTACTCTTCTTAAAGCTTCTCTGTGCTTGTTGTTGTTCACTGATGCTAAAATTGACTTATTCTAAATGTATTTTATGTGAATTAAAATAATAAATCTTTTTTTATGTGAAATTTATTTTTGTTCCTAAAATGGAAACCTACCATGTTGCATTGTAATACAGTGTATTATGTTGGGTGTCTAAAAATTGTTAATTATGCCATCATTTAAGATGCTATGTATCTGTTATTTAAAACATGGAAATATAAGATATAAGACCTTTATTCTTATTCATATGGACATACTTCTTCTGCATTGAAAATGCACTGTTTTTGCAAACTCATATTAACTGTTACCTAAGAAATAAGAATCAAGCCATATAAGAGAAGATTCAGAGCCCAGTAACAATTCAGTTCCAAGGATCCTTTAGAAGGCTGATGTAAAAAATGTATGTATATTGGCATACCATACTCAATTTAAGGATAAAGGCTCAAACCAGGAGCCTCTTGGGTACTTCAAATATAGAACTTGAAGTAGAGCAAAAACTAGACCAAAAATAAAAATATGTATTTGCCCCCAGTTCAGTTCAAGGCAACAAATATTACTTGCATTTTAACTTTGAGCTCCAGGCATCATTCCAAGAACTTGGGATATAAAATAGATAAAAGAAACACATCCCAATTCTAAGGTAGTTCACATTCTAGAATAGCTTTTTTTTTTTTCCCCAGTCATGCCATCTAGCAATCTTATAAATATACTGGAAAATATTTTTTAAGGTTTATTTAAAGCTGTGTAGAGCCAGACATGGTGGTGCACGCTTTTAATCCCAGTGGCTTAGGAGGCTGAGGCAGGAGAATCACAAGTTCAAAGCCAGCCTCAGCAACTTAGCGGGGCCGTAAGTAACTCAGAGAGACCCTGTCTAAAAATAAAATATAAAAAAGGGCTGGGATGTGGCTCAGTGGTTGAGTGCCCCTGGATTTACTCCCCAGTACCAAAAAATTTTTTAAAAGTGTGTAGATAAAGATTTGAACTAAAATAGTAAGGTCTCTGACTTTAGTAATAAAAGTTTTTAGCGTTCACTTAGACATACTACAAATTCCCCATTTTCTGGTTAAATTTCCTATTTGAAGTCGGTACCTCTCTTTAGTGCTTCTAATTCTTTAAATTTTATTTTTCATAAATTGTACAGTATTTAACTTTTGTTAGCAAATATTTGTTTTTTTACAATTATTAGTATACATCTAAGGAAACAATAGTTTATTAAAAACTTCTTGAAAATAATTTAAATACTGGGTTTTTTTTCCTTCTAATATTAAGAGTCAAATTAGCATTGGTGAGATAGTATTTGGAGATTCGTCTTTATGTTTGTTCCTTCTGCTTATTTGGATACTTTGTGAATGGAAAAGCCTAAACTTGCCCCTTTGTTATGAAGAAGTATTTTTTTTTAATTTTTTTTTTTTAAAGAGAGAGAGAATTTTAATATTTATTTTCCAGTTTTTGGCGGACACAACATCATTGTTTGTATGTGGTGCTGAGAATCGAACCTGGGCCGCACGCATGCCAGGCGAGCGCGCTACCATGTGAGCCACATCCCCAGCCCATGAAGAAGTATTTTATAGTTCACTTGTCAGGTAGCTAAGCAGTACATTTTGATCCTTTACTTTTCTCAATTCTCAATTGGAAAAGATAAATACAAGTGGAATGCTCCTATACTTATATTTAGCTCCTACAAAATGCAGTATTGAAGACGTTTTTTTAAACCACATCTAATTATGTGAAGTATTTCTCTTTAAAAGGTTTTCTGTTTGTTGAGAAAGGGTCTCACTAAGTGCATTAGGACTTCAATAACTTATTGAGTCTGGCCTTGAATTTACTATTCTTCTGTCTCAGCCTCTAAATTGCTGGGATACAGCCATGTGCCACTGTACTGGACTTTTTTTTTTTTTTTTAATGCGTTCTTCTTATGTTTCCCTGAATGACCTTGAACTCCTCCATACAGAGATACACATGTCCTCCTACTAAACTATACCTTCAGCTCTCTTAGATGCACTTTTTTTTTTTTTTTGCAGTATGAGCGAATCAAACCCAGGGCCTTGCACATGCCAGACAAGTACTATACTCTGAGCTACCTTCCCAGTGCTGTAGATGAGTTTTTTTAAGAAAGCTAACTCCTTTACCTTCAAAATTAGATACTGTTCTCATAATAATATCTCTAAGTAAATCTTGAACTAAATCAGATTTTAAAGATTACTCAGAAAATATGTTTTGGTGTTTGATACCAATATATTTTATATATTATAATATACATTATAAATGTAAATATCCAAATAATAGGGGTTTTTTATTCCAGTAATCTCTGACCCCTCCCCCATGATCAGAGGTTTTTTTTCCTCACCGTGTTAACACTGGATGTATACGGATAACCTTTCTGACACTGGGATTCTTGAGGTAAACTGGTAAAATCGCATTCAAAGAAACATGGTCACCGAGTGTGGTGGTGCACACCTATAATCCCAGTGATTTGGGAGACTGAGACAGGAGGATTGCAAGTTCAAAGCCACCCTCAGCAACTTATCAAGACTTTGTCTCTCAATATTATCAATTCTGAGAACTGTACTAAGAAACAAACCTATCAGATTTTTATGTTAAGTAGCTATAATTAAAATAATATGATTGCTCATATATAGGCACAACATATATATAAACTAGAGTTTCTGGGTGTCTGTTACTATGCTAGTACCATACTGATTTAATGTGTTTTTATAATGTTTTTAACTTCTGGTAGAGCAAATATCCTCAAACAACCTTTCTTTTTCAAAATGTTCATGGTTCATATTCATTTGTTATTTCAAATAACATTTTATCAAGTTGTCTCCTCTGCTCTTCCCAAAGTGTTGTGATTTTATACTCCACCTATTGAGTTGGCAATAATTACCATCTCTTTCTAACATTCATTCATGTCATAAATATGTGTTTTGTCATTTAGTTCTTTTTGGGGGTTGGGGAGGGGAATACCAGGGATTGAACTCAGGGGCACTTGACCACTGAGCCACATCCCCTGTCCTTTTATTGTATTTGTCTGGCTTTGAACTCTCAATCCTCCTGCTTCATCCTTCTGAGCTGCTGGGATTACAGGTGTGCACCACCATGGCCCCATACCTGGCCATTTAGTTCCTTTTTGTCTTTAAAGTTTTGTAGGGGCAGGAGAGCATGCCCAAGGCAATCCCCACCACCAAAAAAAAAAAAAAAAGTCTTAAGTATTACAGTTTTCTTCATAAAGACCCTGCACATTTCTGGAAATGGAAGCTCCTTGAGGGCTTTGTTTTGTTCCCAGAATATAGACCAGAATCTGGCATATCATAACATTTATTGTATAGATGTCATTTTCACCTGTCAAATACAAGATCAAATAATTGGATAATATTGGTGAAGATGTGGAAAATTGATAATCCTATATACTGCTAGTGAAAGGATATGTATTAATCTTTTTTTTTTTTCTGTGTTTTATAGTGTTTTGACATCTTAAAAAGCTTGCTAACAAAGTTGAAACTGTCCTTCCAGCATAAGCCCTTTCTTATACATGGACGCAATATCTTTATTCTCTTTATTTTTATGTGGTGCTGAGGATCGAACCCAGGTCTCACATGTGCGAGGCGAGCGCTCTACCGCTGAGCCCTATAAGCCCTTTCTTAAAGATGGTGAAGATACCACTGGTGCATTCTCTCATATACAAAGCAAGCAGTTCTTAGTTTGTTGTAGTTCCACCCACCTCATCTAACACAAACAAGCTGATATGGGGGTGGTTCCAAGACCCCTAGGGACACCAATATCCTCAGATTTTCAAATCCCTTACATAAAAAGGCATAGTGTGTACACATAACCTACACATGTCCTCAGCATACTTTAGATTACTTAAAATACCTAATGTAAGACCAAAAAAAAAAAAAACACAGTCTCAGTATTGTTCAACCCCAGGACTGCAAAAGCCCCAGCATACTATTTATGGGTGCCTAAGAAAGAACTTGGATTGGAGAATTCAACAGAGAAGGTTTGGACATTTTAACTTTCTTTCTTTCTTTCTCTCTCTCTCTCTCCCTCCCCCCCCCCTTCAGAGGAAAAGTTTATCACTGTTTCAGAGGTCTCAGTCCACAGATGGTCAACTCCACTCCTCAGAGTAAGCCAGGACATCATGAAGGAAGGTTGTGGTGGAGGAAAGTGGCTTTGGATATGACAGCAGAAGCAGAGAGAGCAATTTGGACATTTTAGTACTCAAATCCTTAGGGGCACGGCTGGGGTGGTAGAAGAGCGTTTGTCTAGCATATGTGAAGCACTGGGTTCAATTCTCAGCACCACATATAAATAAATAAAGGTCCATCAACAATTAGAAGATATTTTTTAAATATTTTTTAAAAAATAAATTCTTAGGGCCAATAGTCCAGGACAAGGAGGGCTCCACTGTGCCTACAAGCAGGAAAATATATACAGAGTAGGTTGTGTGCCTTTTGCACAAATGAATTTCTTCAGATGTTTTATAAATGCATTCTTTTTCTTTACAACCAAGATCACTCTGTTTTGATCCCTACCTAAAGATTCAGATACAAGGGAAGTGGCCAGTTTCCTTCTTATCCTCATTATCACTTTCTTTCAAGTCCTTATATCTCTAGCAGGAGCTGCAAGACTTCCTAGGCACTAACTGTTGTTTACCCCAACAAACACGTTCCCAATTTTTTCTGAAAAAAAAAATATTTTTTTGTTGTAGATGGACCCAATACCTTTATTTATTTATTTTTCTGTGGTGGTGAGAAGCGAACCCAGTGCCTCACACGTGCAAGGCCAGTGCTCTACCACCACGCTACAACCCCAGCCCTTACTGAATGTTTTAATCCACAGTTTATTAAATTCATGGATGCAGAACCCAAAGATACAGCAGGCCAACTTTTAATTCCCTTACCCTAAATTATTCTGACACACAAATACCAGGTAATTAGAGACCACCCCATCGCCCAAAGCCTGACAGAACTATTCAAATTAGCTAATCCTAAACTGTGTACACTGTCCTGCCTTGACTTATCCCCTATAATTATCCCCTATAATTCCCAATGAAGGCTCAGACCTGGACTTTTCTGTCCATCCT